GCTTTCCCTCTCCCCTGGCCTGGAAGTGGGGCACCCACCCCTGTTCCTCACTGTGGCCTGCAGCCCCCTCTCCCTTGCTCTCCCTGAGAGTCCTAGCTGACATGAGCCATCAGCTGCACCAACCACCCACACCAGCCAGCCCTTGCTGTGGGCATCGCCCCCATCGCTGTGTTGGGTCTGAATTCCTGGTGGTCTCAATATTCTCATGGACCACCCCTCAACTCCCTGCCTCTCAGTCTTGACCTCTTTGTCCTGCCAATGGCCTCGTCCTGTGCCCCAATTATGCCCTCGACCCTGTCACCACCAGAACTCCCCCAACCCCCCACCTCCCGCATTCAATTAAACACGCAGTTCTGACCACCACCCCCTTCCCAGCTCACTCCCGAAAACCCTGACTCTGGCATGCCAGAGCCCCCCAGGTGTGTCTTCACCCTTTCCTCACTCAGTTTGGATTCCACAATTACTGCCACCCCTCCCTTGCATGTGTCCTTGATTCAGATGCCCCTTTCAGAATCTCACCTGGCAAAAGCCCAAACCTGGACAAACCCAACCCCTCTGCTTACCCCCATGGCCTCCCTGCTGCTCCTCAAAGACGTACAATCCCGTCTCCTCTGGAATAGAGGCCAAAACCCACAACCGCCTTCCAGGTCTGGTCTCTACCCCCTTCCTCCTCTCTTGCCTCAATTTGTTACTGCTGCCCCCTCATGCACCCACCCCTCTCTGGCCTAGGGCTTCCACCCACATACCTCCCACTGTGGCCTCAGGACCTCTGCAAGGGTTGTTCCCCCAGGTCTGCTGAGTCTCAGTAGCTCTCCACCGCCTATCTCCACCCCAGAGCCTGCCCCTCCTGCTCTCATCATCCAAGCTATCCTCTGGTCTACTCATCTTTCTGGTTAGCATCTGCGTCCTTTGGTGGACTGTGGGCTCTAGGAGCACAGAGGCCAGTGTTGGCTGCCCCCTGCCTGGAACAAGCACTGCAGGGCACAGACGGGTGCTCAATACAAGTCTGTGGGGTGAAGGCAGAAATGGCTCCAGACACACCCATGTCTCCAAGTCCTTGGTTAAATGCACCCACACCAACACCAGCCTGTCCCTGCTGAAGCCCAGAGACAGGTAGACTCTGCTGTGGCCTGGGGGGCAGGACCCCCAGCACTGAGGGGGAGGCTTGAAGGGTGCAGTGATTTTTGAACCCTGAGCTGCAGTGGGGAGGGGCTGCTCAGAGCTGTGAGTCCCATCTCCCAGATGGAAAGTGGGGGTTGAGCCAGAACCAGCAGGTGGGGGGCAGCCTGCTATGCACACAGGACCCCAGCTGGCTTCTAGGAAGGCAAAGTACCCCATCCCCCATTCTGCAGTAGAAGAGAAGGCTAGGGGTGGGGGGGTTGGGCTGCCAAGGAGCCAGACCAAAGCAGGCTCCTAGCCAGGGTGGGATCCTGGCAGCCAGGGAGGGGGATGTCCAGAAGGAGGGGTGAACCCTCTAGGCTAGGCTGGGCTGGGGTGGAGCCCCAATAGGGCAGATGGGGGTGAGAAGGTGAACACAGGGCCCATCGGTGGGCACACACAGGGCTCCTGGCTCTGCTGGGGGCAGGGTGCTGGGGACACAACACTGGGAGTCTCCCCCTTAGAGCCTGGCCTTTTGGCAATGTGGGACCTGCCCAGAACTGTAGATGGCACACCCAGAAGAAGAGGGAGGCAGAGGGACATAGAACCAACACTGCCTCCCCCCATCCCACATGGATAAGGGGCTGAGCCCAGCTGCAACCTGAACCAGGATGGGAGTGTGGAATCCCTAAGGCCCACAGGCTGCGGGGGGCAGTAGGGTGGGGGGCCCGCAGAGAGGCCAAGCACAGTCAGAGCGTAGGCTCCAGTGCTAGAGTGTCCCACAACCAGCTAGGTCTGCTGGAGGACAACATGGCCTTGCCTCGGGATCCCAGTCTCCTCTCTTGCAACAAAGCCCCCCCCCCCCTCCCGTGCCTCCAGCTCTAAACGAGAGAGGAGGGCTGAAACTTTCCAAAAGCCTGAGAATCGCCAGCTGTCCTCCCCCAGCCTCTTTTTGCTGGACCCTGGGAAGGGCACAGCGACCTTGGGACACGGGGGCGGGAGCGTGATGCTGGAAAAGCGGCAGGGCGAGGAGGTCCAAGTAATTGAGCCCGGGCCACATGTGCGCTCCGCACCCGGGGCTGCTGAGGACTGATGGCCAAGGCCTGGACCCAGCTGCCCCTCCCCGCCAGGCGCCCCGAGGGGCTACCGGCTCCACCCAAGCGAGCAGGAGCAAAGCCGGCCCTCGGGAGCGCCTGGCTGTGGGACACATGTGTCTGCGCTCTGACGCCTCGTCCGTCAAGAGGGTTGGGGGCCAAGAGGGTAGGGAAATTGACAGAGAGAGGCAGGGACGTGGACAGCGAGCCGGGGGATGGAGGGACTGAGAGGTTGCATGGAGGGATAGAGAAACGAGGGAAGAGTGAAGGGCGATCGAGGAATGAGACTGAGGAAAGAGACGGAGAGGGATAGAGACAGGGCCAGGAGGACGGTGTAGGGAGTGTGGAAGAATGAGGGAGGGACCAGAGAAACAAAGTACAGGGACAGAGCGAGAGGGTGACTGGGACTAACGGAGAGGACAGGCATGTGGTCGGAGAACAGAGACGGGGGCGGATTGTCCGGGAAGAGGTGGGGAGCGCGGGGTGAAGGGACTGCGCCTGGCACGTCCCGCGGGCGCCCGGAGGGTTCGTCCGGTAATTAGGCCTCGGTCCAGATGGGCCCCCCAGTCCCGCAATCAAAATGCTAATTGGCCCCGCGCCTCCGGCTGCGCCTCGGCCCGGCCCCCCGGGAGGGAGCAGGGACAAGCGGCTCGGCCGAGGGGGATCCCCCGCCCCCGCCCCCACTGCGGGCCTCGCCGGCTGCGACTCTGCGATAAGGGGGCGGCCGCACCCCGCCACCGCCCCTCGAGAGCAACTGCCACGCAAGATGAATATCCCGCCGCTGCCGCTGCCCATGCCGCCGCCACAAAGCGGGCTGTGGTCTCCGCCACGCCCCCCGCGCCGGGCCGGCTCGCCCACACCCGCGCTCGCAGGCACCTGGGCAGAGACGGCAGTGCCGGCCCTCCCCCGCACGCGCGCCCCAGTTGTGGCCCGCCCGCCGCGCGCTCCTGGCTGGTGTCCGCGGGCCCGCCGTGCCGCCCCGCACAAGGTCACCGCGTGCAGCGACCGGTGCACGCGCGCGCGTCTTGCGCGCGCGTCTTGCACGCGCTCCCGGCTTGGCCGCGCCCGGACACTCCCCGGAGCCGCCCCTGCGACCTTGGTCCCCAGCGACGGCGGGCCGCGTGGGGGCGCGCTCCGAGCCTGGTAGCCTGAACCACCGGGCGCGGGCGGGTGAGGGGACAATGGCGGCGCCGGGCCCTAACTGGGGTCATATGTCCCCGCGCACGGCCATTGTGCGGCCCGGAACCCCCCCCCAACGCAGCCCTGCGCCCCGCCATTGGCCGCTGGGCCTGACGTCATGGGTGCTGCAAACTCGGGGCGGGCGGCTGCGGGAAGGGTTATCCGCCTGGTTGCGGGGTCGCCGTGGGGAGCTGCAGCCACGCGGAAGGGCGGAAAACCACCAATGAAGCCGAATTTCTGGATCAAGGGCCTGGCAACCCCTCTCCCCCTCCACACCCCGCTCGCTGCGTCGCCGCTGCGCTCGACATCCGCCCCTTGGGAGAGAGGAGGGGTGGAGGAAGGCCTCTCCAGCGGGCACGGGGTCAGCTCGGGTGACCGAGTGGCAGGGAGACACTGCGGCAACAGGGTGCGCGCAGCGCTTCCACACTGCGCTTTCGCTGCCTCAGCATTCGCTCCTTCGCCTCCCGCCTCCCCCACCCGCCCCCGCAGATCCCTCGCCTCCACATCCGAAAGCTAGGCAGGCCGGACCAGACTGGGGTCCGCCATTCGTTCCTCCCCCAAAGATCCCAAGTCCGGGGCTCGTGAGTCCCATGTCTGTTTCCACCTCTCCCCCCACGCCCGACAATGCCGCGGACCGCTGGGTCTCCATTCCCGGAGCCGCTCGGGGGAACTCCACACACGCGGGGGCCGCGGCATCCCCAAGACCCCTCCCAGGAGTCCCTGGCCGGGGCCTGGCCCAGCGCAGCCATTTCCGCCTGCCTCTGTCCCCTCCCCTCCCTCCCCTCCCGCAGCTCCTGGGCTTTAAAAGCCAGAGGCTCGGCCTGGCCACAGGCAGAGGCGGCCGCGGGCGCAGGAGGCCGGGCCCAGGAGCTGTCCGAGAGCGGAGCCCCGCCCCCGGAGCCCCTGTCCGTCCCTCCCTCCCTCCTTCCCTTGGCCCGCCCTCCTGCGCACCCCTCCCCCCGAGGACCCCC